GGAAGCATTGTCTGACGCGTCTGCCTCCGCGACCCGAAAGGAGAAGCGGCGATGGAAGATGATGATGATGATGAATGGTAGAAATTTAATTTAAGACGAGATTCCTAGAAGATCATGCTTTCAAGCCTAATTCTTTATTAACACAAATTGAACTAAGAGCTTTAATGAAGACCGATTCCCTTATCATGAGAGCATCGGTGGTGTTGTCCGGTCTGCGTTCTTCACATCCTTGACACAGGCGCAATTTTTCAGTAGCCGAATGTTCTTCATTAACATACTCAAAAGCAGCCATATGCTCTTTTGCCTGGTTCTAACCCATGTTTTTGTCATCCGATGTCAATGTTTTGAAAACTTTTACAATCTTTTTGATAAAGGGCCCAGTTTCTAAGCAGATCCTCTGTCGTAAAATGTTCTCTATACATGATAGGTTGCGTAAGGGGATGCCTTTCCTCGACGTGATTGGAATCGACGCCACTTAGAGAACGACAGAGGGGTAGAAACAGGTTCAGAGTGAAGGGTAATGATAAAATGTTGCGGCCATGTTTAGATTGTAGGGGAAGGTTATTAGTTAGAGTGAAGTTGTTACGCAGGAGAAAATGCGGCTGTAACCATGATTTTGAAGAATATATGATAGGTTTTGGATTTCATCTCTGCGTGTCGCAGTAGGACGTCGCCCTTCTGCGCAAGTTGATGAAAATATTGTTGAAATATGAACACGGAAGAGTAAAGCTCGGATGTATGAAGCGGCTGGAGTTCTGTTCCTTGCGGAATAAGGAAAGCGACAGAGAATTATTGAAGTCTTTATTTTGATGTCTAGGAAAACAATAGCGTCTTATCTTGTTTCATCTTTGACTATGAATTCTATCCTCTTCTCGTTGTCGGAACCGTTGAAGAAATCAAGGAGAGATGAAGATAGGTTCTGCATTAAGAAGTAGAAAGATATCATCAGCGCAGAGGGATAGGTTTTACATCTTGACGGCAAAGATCTAAAGCAGCGAATTAAAAGTTATTCATAAGCATTTCTTTTATTATAACGTTGACATGAACATCCATAGCAGTTCCATAGGATTGGCTATGGAAGGTGTTGTCATGTTCAAGTATTTGAAAGAATCATTTCAAGAACCTTCAAGACTTCTCTTGCGGGCAAGTCTTTGAGTAGCGAACGCCCATTTTTCCAGACGTGCTTGTTTTTCTTCCAAAATCTTTTGTGCAATCAAATAAATTCTGCTCACCGAGATGTTGTCATGTTTTTAACGTCGAATTTAACTTTTTGAGTGGACCAAGAGGAAGGGTTGAAACATTAAAGTTTTCTAATATTTTCTTCACCACTTTTTCCGCAGTAAATGCGCAGATTTGCTGAAGGCCTCAGTATGAAGTCGATAATGAAATAATAAGTTTTAGTTGTTGGGATGGCTTATGCAGTTTAATAAGAACATGTTCGCGCATTCTTTGTTGTTCTTTCTTATGATAAATTTAAGTCAAACTGTGAAAAAGACTTGAAATTTTTGAATGGCCTAAGTATTTTCTTAAGATACTCCAACACGTTTCTATTGGTATTGGCGTTTTTTCATAGTTTGAAATATACGCGCCAGTTGTCAGTATGAGCCCTCAGTTTAGCTTTGTATTTTTCCGCTTTTATGACATCTTTGTGTGTATTAGTAACAATTAACCCATTGTTACTCAGTTTCTTGTTATCCAGTTATTCAGACTGGGAAAACATTTTTGATGTTCCTTCGTAAAATATTGCAAACTTCAGCAATAGTGATATCTTTCTTCACTTTTAAGATCATCAGTGAGGAAAAAGTCCTTTTTAACCGAAGCTATATAATTATTGACATTTATTCGTGTCGTATCCGAATAAAACTTGGGCTCCAAGGCAAGCAAGTCCTTATACAATTCATTAAAGCTGAATCCTGAAAGGGTCTCAGTTATATAGATTCTAAAGTTTACATCAGGCGAGAGTTTCTTCCTTTCGCTTGCTGATTGCACCAAAATAAACCCATCAAACTTCCTATTCCGTTGGGTCTTGATGTTTTCATATATTTTGGAGTAGTCTAACTCCACGTTCGTTTGTATCAGAAGAAAATCAAAACGTGTTGGAAACTAATTTAATCAATTCATCAATCTGCTTTTCGAGCTTCATCCTGTTAGCAATGTTTTATTCAAACAGACTTTCATAAGCTTCATTGCACAGCTGAAATGTGGTTTGCCAGCAAATTAACCATATACGTTCTTAAGTTAAAAGCCGATAGAGATGACACGATATCTTCTATGTATACTTAAAAATACAGCGGAGCCCTTCCGATAGGCGTACGTTCCCAAGCATTATGCCCAAAGAATTACAAAATGTAGCAGTTTTCGACCATACTGCTGTGACAGTACGCCTCCAAACGATATACACAGCCTTTTAAGATAATAGATTAAGGGAACAATTTGTTTTATTTAGTTAGCACTAGATGTTAGAAGTAGTTTATAAATGCATGGACGAGAGAGTTATTTTTTCATAAATACTATTTAAAATTATTCAGAACCAATTGAGTTGATATTATGATCAGAGAGTAAATTTTTTTATAATTGAGACTTACCAAAGTTTTCGAATCATCAATCTACTCAGTCTATTCAGTCTATAAGTCAAATAGTCTATTCAGTTTAAGTTTAAATGATCATTAAAATTATAATGAAATTTCGAATTAATCAGGTGTTAATGCGCCTGAGGCGGCCAACTAGACGTTGTAATGGACATCCAGCTGTAGAAGCTTCCTTCAGAAAGTTAGAAGGCACTCCTAATCGCTGCATCGAAGCAAATTTCAACGTTGCACCATAAGTTTCATGAAGGCTTGTTGCCTCATGTCGCTTCCGTCATTTATTGGCTTGACATTTCAGTGGCGGCAGATTTTAATGTTCTTTTGTCAGTAAAAAAATGCAACGAAGTAATACAGTAATTAAATGTGTTGACAAAGATGGAAAATCCTTGACTGATATTGTCGTTTGAGCAACATATATATCTGTGGCATGATTGTATAAGTAAATTCGTTTTTATCGAATAGAAAATGTACCTGGAATACGCAAGAAATTCAAAAGTAATTACAGTGGCATCCTTGCCATCGATCAGATTCATGCAGGTAGGAATGTATTTCAGTAAAGTTAATGTTACGCCAATTTTTCTTCTGTTCTAGAAATCATTTGCAGAAATATGTAAAGTAAACCTAAACGTGACCTACTATCATGCATTTATGTATATTCGACAACTTGCTATTCATTTGAGAAATGGACTCATGGAAAAAGCGAAGGTAAACTCAGCTTCGTTTTACAATCGTACTTTTTAACTTGTTTCAGGGCACTCCAAAAGCGGTTTACAACTGGTCCTATGTTCAATGTGTCAGTTTGTGGTGTTCCGTTTTAGCGTCGCTACATGAAAATGCCATGTTAAATTCGCTCATCTATCCATTGGTGCAGGTGGCCATCGGTTGCATAAGGTACATATTTCAACTGTGAGAAATTCAAAGTGATATTTTGCCTGAACTTATTTATTTGTTTTTCTTTTTTAAAGCATGTTCCCTTTATCAGGAGTTACCTGTTTGTTTTTTGTTGCGTTATCTTTATGTCTTTCTTGCTTAGACTCAGACCAACTGCCAAGTTCTTTCCTTTGCGTTTTCATATCCTGCGAAGTCTGATATTGTTGGAGCGTCAGTTGGATATTTACATACCTGTTTTACCACTCATTTACGAGGTTTGGATTTGCGCTTTTTTGAAACTCAGCAACTTGGATCACGTCTATAATCAATAGTTCAGGTTTTTCGCACCGTGGATTTCAACCAGAAACCTCGTACTGTGAAGCCGAGGCCGATAGACTTCAGCTGTCAGCTGAGACTTTCATCGTCGCACATCGTCGAAAGCAGCTTCAGAACCGCCTCCATTAATTACGTGACGGAGCTGATTACTGAATACGCGTACAACCACTGTTGTGCTGCTTCTTTTCCGGAACTAGTGCTTTTCTGCATTCTGCAGGTACGCTACATTATGGTTATGCAAAATTATGTTGTTTTACATATCCCTCTTATCGAAACAATGTTTGCGTCGTATAAGCAGGTGTTTAGCTCTACGTTGAAAACGTTTCCTTATAAACAATCACAACAAAAGAAATTATCTTTTTACTGGTCATATTATCTCTCCATAACCAAAATGGCTTGACTCACTTGTCATGTTTTCGTCGTTTGTCATCTGTCGTCAACTTCATAGGGTCAGTTGTTGCTCGATAACCAAAATAGATGTCAATTTACTTTTTGAACAGTGAGTGATGCCATGAGCAGAGTAATTGGCCTGAAAATGTCGTAAATCAGAATAAGCTTGCTTAAGATTTGTAAATGATCAAAGACTTTAAGAGATAAATGTTTATCTTCATCTTCATCTTCATCTTCCATCGCCGCTTCTCCTTTCGGGTCGCGGAGGCAGACGCGTCAG